GTTGTGTTTTTGTTATTTTTGTCCCATGAAGAGAGGATCTAATGAACAATGACAGTAGAAGGCAGGAGCAGCAACTGATTCTCACTGTTATTCGAAAAGGCAATAAAAAATGACATCAGATCATAAAGCATAACTCTGGAGAAAATTGTGGACCTCATCTTTTATAAATCCCAGGTACCTACATGTCCTTGAAAGCCAGCTGTGGGTGCTGAGCAAATTTGAAAATCAGAAGTTTTTGTCACTGGCACTGTCTGTGTTCATAGCAATCATATTAATCCAGCCTCCTCCTCCGTGAAAAACATTAATTTTTACCCTAGCAATAAATTTCTAGTCTTGTGTTTTTCCTGTAAGTATAATATATTGTTTAATTTAAAAGTATTTCATGTGTGAAGAGTTTTATACAAATATCCTTTTAGTTAATATATTAAAATGCAAATCAAAAATAAAATTTTTTTTCTCCTGGTGTTTAAACTGGAAGAAAAATACCTCAATTTAATTTAACATTAGTGAAAATTTGGAAGATTATCAGAACATATGCGTTGGGAGGATGTCCTGAACACACCTGAAGTGTGTGTTCCTGAGTGCTTGGTCCCTCACCAGTTTGCTTTATTCGGCAACTTAAAAATAATCAGGTTGATTAATGTAAATGCCAGTAGCTTTCTGGAGATGCTGTATTTGCTGTCAGTTTCTCAGATAATGCTGATGTAGGATTAGATTGTTTTCCTATGAGTCTTACGGCTTGTGATAAAACCTTGTTCTCCGTGTTTGTGTGTGCTGCTTTGAAAGTGCCTGCATGGGCTCGACCCTCTGTGAAAGTGGCAGCAAAAAGAAATAAACTGATGAAACCACTTTCTATTTATGTATTTGTTGCTCAGTTTGCCTTTTATTGTCTCTCCTTTATTAGGGACTTTACATGTCTTACTGGTGCAGTTGAAAGTCTTGATGCAATGCCAGGCACTCACGGGGAGGTAATAGTTGGTAACTCACTCTAAGTTTCATTTTTAGTACCTGTCAGTGGAATTGTCTGTCTGGTGCCTGAAAGAGAGAATCCATCTCACACTGATCATGTCGTAGGCTTCCAGGATTTTGATGTTAATGTGGATGAGGGTATTTCAAACTGGGTTGTAACAGTGGCCTTAAATTCAAGGGTGTGTCTCCCTCAGTGGTGGAAACAGACCTCAGCTTCTGGTTTGTGCTTCGGCCTTGGTGGATGTGAGGCAAGAACCAAAGCTCTGTGTGTCTCTGGTGCTGTGTCACAGATCTTATGCTTTGCAAAGAGTCTGCATCATCCCTTGTAGATAAGCCTTAATGGTGTTTGGTTAAAAGGTCAGCAAGAAGTTAGGGAGCTGTGATAAAGCCGTTGTGTTCCACGTGGAATTCTTCTCTGTAACTCTCCACTTAGGAGCTATCATGGTCATGGATGTGCCTCACCTGTTCTGATGCTGAATTTTTCCATGGCTTCTGTGCAGGAAGTTGCACGAGGAGACATAAAGAGCTGCTTGACTGTGGAGTGGGGAAGTGCCAGAAAGGGTGGCTGCAATCTGGGACCATCAGAACCAAATGTTGAGTTTATAGGGTCTGTTGAGATAAGGATCTGAAAAGCAGTTCAGCCTCTGCAGCGGGTGGATGTGTGCTGATAGCTCCAGCTCTCATGCTGCAGTTGGAACTCCAGCAGGAAATGGGAAGGCAGCAGAGGAGGCAGCTGTGTAGTGTGTGTGTGACCTCTTTGCCTGTGCCAGGGGCACATAAAGGGAGAGCTCCTGCACCTCTGTTAAGAACAGATCAGATGCAATGCTCTCACACCATTCCTCCTGCGTGCCAGCAGCAAGGTTTTATACAAATACTTGATCTTACCAGCACATGGATCTTGCCCTCTGAAGTTTCTCTTGCTTGGAAAGACTCTTTTCTTTCCTAGTATCAAATATACTTGTGATGTTGGTATTCCACATAGCTCTTTTATTATGTAATAAATAAATCTGGGATATACATGCTGACAGACTAACCTTTGTCATCTAAAATGAAGGCTCTTTGTTTTTTTGAAAAGAACAACCTTGCCTGTGTTTTAAGAACAACCCAATGGCAAAATCCTGCCTGTTAGGGTTGAGATAAATCCCAACTCCGGGAAAACTGAAGAATATGGTGATATTTAAAAATGCTCATGAAGCGTTAGGCAGTGTTGAAGAAACCATTGCCTGAAATGACGTATGACCAGATTAAAACATGAATTGAAGGGTGAAGGTGTGTGAAGATGTACAGCTGAGCCCTGCTGCGAAATACAACCCCTTTGGTTCTGCAGCCTCCTTGTCTTGCCACAATGGCCTCTCTGGCCATTTTATTCTCCCTAGAACAACCCTGTGAGCAGGCACTGAAGCACCCACCCACGTGCCCACGGTTGGTGTGAATTACAAAGGGGTATCGAGTGTTGAATTTCCATCCAGCAAGTCTCCAGCAGAGGGGAGGGTGTGCTGCAAAACTTCCTGCATTTTATACATGTATAATCCTCCAGCTGTTTCCTGTGAAGGAGCTGCAGTGGCTCATAGCTCTGTGCTGGTGATGGACCTGTACATTGCCAGGAGGGAATCTTTCTGCTCAAGCTCAGCCTGTATTCCTTGCTCCTCTCTGTTTACAGCTTATTGCACCCGTGTGCTAAAAGCAACAAGACTCTTTTAATTAGAAAGAACACAATAAAATGCCTTCCTTGAAGGATGACCAGGGATCTTTTGGTGGGGACCTGGTATGTTTTCCTCACAAGCTGAAATTCAAACTGTCACGTGTGACTGACTCTCTCAAGGACATGACAGCATTGGTGGCCACTCCAATGGTCAAGGAAGGAGGTGAGTGCTAAATTAACTGTGCTGGGACTGCTCCTGTGGTTTATATGGCTATGCAAAGCCAGGAATTGACTGTATTTTCAGGTGAGGGAGTGGAGAGGCTGGGCCCATCAATTTTGTTACTCTCTTCAGCTGCCTGCTTGTTCCAGCTGATTTACCCTTTTCTTCTTGTCCAGCCACTTATGCATCACCTCTTTGTGGTTTAACAGAAAAACACACCTGTGACTGAACCTTGATTGAAATTCTGCTGCCTGTTAACACTTGCATTTTTCCGGCCTGTGAACTGGAATTACAGCCGCTCACACCTGGAGGTTTGAGCGGGGCTAAATGTATGTAGTTCACCTCCTTTTTGGGGTCATCTGCCTGGTCACTTGTTTTCACAGCCTCCCTCTCCTGTGCTTGGGCCAAAAGCAACTTCTTCCCGAGCTCCCACGTGTGCCAAAGAGGAGGACAAAGCTTCCTTGTTCAGTGCCAGCCGCTCCTGCTCCCTCCTCGTGGGCAGTGAGGAGCCCTCGCCTTTGGAAGGCGGTGCTTCCAGTGGCATGGAATGGCTTCGGTGGTGGTCAGGCCAAAGCTGCTTGTTGGAAGGGGCTGCCAAGGTTCAACTGGAACATGGTGGGAAAGTCACAGAAAAACAACCTTTTTTTTCTCCCCCATCTCTCTGACAAAGGAAAATTAGAAATTCAAGCAGCTGCTGCGG